TGACCAGCCCTCCTCCCCCCCCACCCACCCACGTGACCAGCCCCCCTCCCCCCCCACCCACCCACCCACGTGACCACCCCCCCTACCCCCACCCACGTGACCAGCCCCCCCCCACCCACGTGACCAGGCCCCCCCCCCACGTGATCAGCCCCCCTCCCCCCCCACGTGACCAGCCCCCCTCCCCCCCCCACCCACCCACGTGACCAGCCCCCTCCCCCCCCCACCCACGTGACCAGCCCCCCTCCCCCCCCCACGTGACCAGCCCCCCTCCCCCACCCACCCACGTGACCAGCCCCCCTCCCCCCCCACCCACGTGACCAGCCTCCCCCCCCCACCCACCCACGTGACCATCCCGCCCCTCCCCCAGCCCACGTGACCAGCCCCGCCCCTCCCCCTCCCCCAGCTCCAACGTGACCAGCCCCGCCCCTCTCCCAGCCCACGTGACCAGCCCCGCCTCTCCCCCTCCCCTACCCACGTGACCAGCCCCCCCCCCCCACCCTGCTGCTGCTGCGGCGTTCTGGCGTTTGTCCCAAGCGGGTTGGCTGCAATGAAGCCGTGAAGACACCGAACAGCTCCCCTGCTACAATTAGCGCGCTGAGGCGCTGCAGTTGCACTCTGTGGCCACACGGTGGCGCTGCAGCAACCGTGTTAAATTTCGATGTAAAGCTGTTTGTGACTGCAGCAGGGATTCATCTTCTTGGTTCTTTCGGTAAAGTCGTCGCGTAGAAGGGAAGTAATAAAATAATATAAATAAAACATAATAAACGTCGTGAGAATTATTTTATTATGTTTTATTTTTATTATTTTATTACTTCCCTTCTACGTGACTTTACCGAAAGAACCTAGAAGAAGCAACCATGTTGGTCAAGTTATTTCAGCGAATTTTCATTTTGCTTTTTGGTTCTTTCGGTAAAGTAACGTAGAAAGGAAATAAATTAAATAATAGAATGGGACGTTTCGATTGCAACACAAGCAATCGTCATCAGGTAGAAAACAAACAAAGTAAATCTTCTTGGTTCTTTCGGTAAAGTCACGTAGAAGGGAAATAATAAAATAATAAAAATTTAACATAATAAAATACAATTCTCACGACGTTTCCCTGTCCCCAGACGACCTGTTTGTCAGTTTTGATGTGGTTTCCTTATTCACCAAAGTTCCTGTACCTGACACCATCGCAATCATTGAAGACTTGGTTCATCAAGGACTGAATGCTGGGGTACCCCCCCTGGTGAGACACTGCTTAACCAATACATACTTCACCTGGAATGGAACTTTCTACAAACTGAGCAGGGGCGGTTTCTTCATTAGGGCGATTGGGCGACGCACCACCAATCTCAGCCGTTACTGTGCCTCTGGATATAGTCCAATCAGCGTCATGTCACGTTCTGTGGAGTACCGCCTCTTTTTGGGCGATTTCACTCCGGCTGAGAATCGCCCAGAGTGTTCCCGTAGACTTACATTCAAAGATGTTGTTTTTCGAACGGCGGGCGAAGCAATGCATTCTCTATGGCTTCCAGGAGGGCTCGCACTAACGTGCTTACGTCATCATACGTAAGCACGTTTCAGCCAACAATATTATGTCGCCACCTAGTGGAGTCTTTAATAAAAGAAACTGAGTGGATTGTAATAATAGTGAGATAGAAACAAACAAGATGTATTATAAGAGTCACTTTATTTTTCATTAATATTAAAGAAGTGAAGTTGCCTTTACATGCTTAAGCTGTTAATTTATCCATTGCATGGGTGGACCTTATCCTTATCAATCATCCAGACATTTGCCCCCCCTGAGAGATTTTGCAGGAGCCGCCACTGAAACTGAGGGCACCCCAATGGGCTCCCCCCTATCTCCGGTTGTAGCCAACGTCTTCATGGAGAAATTTGAGACTGACGCCATCCAGACTGCCACTCTACGCCCGACCTTATGGAAGAGGTACGTAGATGACACTTTTGTCATCTGGCCACATGGCCGGCCTGCTCTAGACCAATTCCTCAACCACATCAATTCCATACACCCAGCCATCACACAGTGTACACACAATGTACACACACACAGTGTACACACACAGTGTACACACACACAGAGTACACACACACAGTGTACACACACACAGTGTACACACACACAGAGTACACACACAGTGTACACACACACAGTGTACACACACACAGAGTACACACACAGTGTACACACACACAGTGTACACACAATGTACACACACAGTGTAAACACAGTGTACACACAGTGTACACTCACACAATGCACACACAGTGTACACACAATGTACACACACAGTGTACACACAGTGTACACACAGTGTACACACAATGTACACACAGTGTACACACAGTGTACACACACACAGTGTACACACAATTTACACAGTGTACACACACAGTGTACACACACACAATGTACACACAGTGTACACACAATGTACACACAGTGTACACACACAGTGTACACACACACACAATGTACACACACACAGTGTACACACAGTGTGTACACACACACACAAAGTACACACACACACATGTACACACACAGTGTGTACACACACACACAATGTACACACACACAGTGTACACACACACACAATGTACACACACACAGTGTACACACAGTGTGTACACACACACACAATGTACACACACACACACATGTACACACACACACAATGTACACACACACAGTGTACACACACACACAATGTACACACACACAGTGTACACACAGTGTGTACACACACACACAATGTACACACACACACACATGTACACACACAGTGTGTACACACACACACACAATGTACACACACACAGTGTACACACACAGTGTGTACACACACACACAATGTACACACACACATGTACACACTGTGTGTGTGTACACACACAGTGTGTACACACACACAATGTACACACACAGTGTACACACAGTGTGTACACACACACACAATGTACACACACACATGTACACACTGTGTGTGTGTACACACACAGTGTGTACACACACACAATGTACACACACAGTGTACACACAATGTACACACAGTGTACACACACAATGTACACACACAGTGCACACACACACACAGTGTGTGTACACACTGTGTGTGTGTGTGTACACACACAGTGTGTACACACACACACACAATGTACACACACACAGTGTGTACACACACACAATGTACACACACAGTGTACACACAATGTACACACAGTGTACACACACAATGTACACACACACACACACAGTGTACACACAGTGTGTACACACACACACAATGTACACACACACATGTACACACTGTGTGTACACACACAGTGTGTACACACACAATGTACACACACAGTGTACACACAATGTACACACAGTGTACACACACAATGTACACACACACACAGTGTACACACAGTGTGTACACACACACAATGTACACACACAGTGTACACACAATGTACACACAGTGTACACACACAATGTACACACACACAGTGTACACACAGTGTGTACACACACAGTGCGTGTACACACTGTGTGTGTGTGTGTGTACACACACAGTGTGTACACACACACACACACAATAATGTCCACATTGTTGAGCTGAGCACACACACCCAAGGGGTCTCTGTTCAAGGGAGGGAGCAATGGAAAATTAATCTTAATCAACTTAAACTCTAATCCCGCTACGTGACGTCACCACTCAGCATGACCTCATCGGCGTGAAACGCCAGGGGCAGGTGTACCTTGCTAGTGACGTCATGTCACCAAAGTATTCACCCCAACCCGTCTCAAGGCAGCGTGACGTCACCTCTGCCTTGGTCACTTCCGTTATCTGTTCAAGCACTATCCTTATTTGGGCAAAGCCACGCCCACTGACTGGCGGCTCATTAACATAATTTATTCGTGAATGACGTCACGAGTTCGTTGTGACCGGTTCGGCACCCACGGCCCATCCCTCCACGTGTGGGCCAGGCTCATTAACATAATTTATGTAAGTTACAGAGCCGCTCAAGTGACGTCATGTCACCTGCTGCTGCCGCGTGACGTCACGAGGTAACGGAAAGTTGCCGCTCGGCGCGGGAACTGAAATCTGAGGCGAGAAATTGTCATCGCGGTTGTGGTGGTTGTTGTTGTTGTGGTGGTTGTTGTTGTTTACCGAGGTAGAGCCTCGCGCTCTCTCTCGTAGGGATGTCAATTGAGTAGCAGCGAGCATGGAAGCGATGTCCAGATTTAAACTTTACAACACGGGGCCTAGTGCCTCCTGCCCTCGCCTGGTCGCGTTCGCTTCAATTCTCTCGCTTCGTTGAGCAATTTCGATGTAAAGCTTCTTTCGTGACTGCAGTGATTCATCTTCTTGGTTCTTTCGGTAAAGTCACGTAGAATAGAAATAAAAAAATAAAACAATAAAACTATACAATTGTATTATGTTTTATATCACGTAGAATGGAAATAATAAAATAATAAACATAAACCAATAAAATAATAAAAATAAAACATAATAACCTTGTAATGTTTTATATCACGTAGAATGGAAATTATAAAATAATAAAAATAAAACTATACACTTTTATTATGTTTTACATAATAAACTTTTATTATATTTTACATCACGTAGAATGTAAATAATAAAATAGTAAAACTAATATGTTGAATATTTTTATTATTTCATTATTTCCATTCTAAGTGACTTTACCGAAAGAACCAAGAAGATAGTTTAGCAACCTGTGGAAGAACGCGATCAGCCAGGCGAAGCGTTAGTTCTCGGTGAAGTCACCATGTAGGTAAGAAATGAATACAAATTCATAAAAGTAAAAATAGAAATAAAATATAAACAAATCACGACGTTTCGGAGGCAACACAAGTCTCCGTCATCAGGTGGCACCGTCACAGCCACATTTGCTGTATCAAGTGAGGCGTTTTTATTAATTTAATCTATAATGTAGACTGTAGCCTGGTTATTAAGCTGGGTGAGTGTACTGGCAGTCTATAATGCAGACTGTAGCCTGGTTATTAAGCTGGGTGAGTGTACTGGCAGTCTATAATGTAGACTGTAGCCTGGTTATTAAGCTGGGTGAGTGTACTGGCAGTCTATAATGTAGACTGTAGCCTGGTTATTAAGCTGGGTGAGTGTACTGGCAGTCTATAATGTAGACTGTAGCCTGGTTATTAAGCTGGGTGAGTGTACTGGCAGTCTATAATGTAGATTGTAGCCTGGTTATTAAGCTGAGTGAGTACTGGCAGTCTATAATGTAGACTGTAGCCTGGTTATTAAGCTGGGTGAGTGCACTGGCAGTCTATACTGTAGACTGTAGCCTGGTTATTAAGCTGAGTGAGTGTACTGGCAGTCTATAATGTAGACTGTAGCCTGGTTATTAAGCTGGGTGAGTGCACTGACAGTCTATAATGTAGCCTGTAGCCTGGTTATTAAGCTGGGTGAGTGTACTGGCAGTCTATAATGTAGACTGTAGCCTGGTTATTAAGCTGGGTGAGTGCACTGGCAGTCTATAATGTAGACTGTGGCCTGGTTATTAAGCTGGGTGAGTGTACTGGCAGTCTATAATGTAGACTGTAGCCTGGTTATTAAGCTGGGTGAGTGTACTGGCAGTCTATAATGTAGACTGTAGCCTGGTTATTAAGCTGGGTGAGTGTACTGGCAGTCTATAATGTAGACTGTAGCCTAGTTATTAAGCTGGGTGAGTGCACTGGCAGTCTATACTGTAGACTGTAGCCTGGTTATTAAGCTGGGTGAGTGTACTGGCAGTCTATAATGTAGACTGTAGCCTGGTTATTAAGCTGGGTGAGTGTACTGTCAGTCTATAATGTAGACTGTAGCCTGGTTATTAAGCTGGGTGAGTGCACTGGCAGTCTATACTGTAGACAGTAGCCTCGTTATTAAGCTGGGTGAGTGCACTGGCAGTCTATAATGTAGACTGTGGCCTGGTTATTAAGCTGGGTGAGTGTACTGGCAGTCTATAATGTAGACTGTAGCCTGGTTATTAAGCTGGGTGAGTGTACTGGCAGTCTATACTGTAGACAGTAGCCTGGTTATTAGGCTGGGTGAGTGTACTGTCAGTCTATAATGTAGACTGTAGCCTGGTTATTAAGCTGGGTGAGTGCACTGGCAGTCTATACTGTAGACAGTAGCCTGGTTATTAAGCTGGGTGAGTGCACTGGCAGTCTATAATGTAGACTGTGGCCTGGTTATTAAGCTGGGTGAGTGTACTGGCAGTCTATAATGCAGACTGTAGCCTGGTTATTAAGCTGGGTGAGTGTACTGGCAGTCTATAATGTAGACTGTAGCCTGGTTATTAAGCTGGGTGAGTGTACTGGCAGTCTATAATGTAGACTGTAGCCTGGTTATTAAGCTGGGTGAGTGTTACTGGCAGTCTATAATGTAGACTGTAGCCTGGTTATTAAGCTGAGTGAGTGTACTGGCAGTCTATAATGTAGACTGTAGCCTGGTTATTAAGCTGGGTGAGTGTACTGGCAGTCTATAATGTAGACTGTAGCCTGGTTATTAAGCTGGGTGAGTGTACTGGCAGTCTATAATGTCGACTGTAGCCTGGTTATTAAGCTGGGTGAGTGCACTGCCAGTCTATAATGTAGACTGTAGCCTGGTTATTAAGCTGGGTGAGTGCACTGGCAGTCTATAATGTAGACTGTAGCCTGGTTATTAAGCTGGGTGAGTGTACTGGCAGTCTATAATGTAGACTGTGGCCTGGTTATTAAGCTGGGTGAGTGTACTGGCAGTCTATAATGTAGACTGTATCCTGGTTATTAAGCTGGGTGAGTGTACTGGCAGTCTATAATGTAGACTGTAGCCTGGTTATTAAGCTGGGTGAGTGTATTGGCAGTCTATAATGTAGACTGTAGCCTGGTTATTAAGCTGGGTGAGTGTACTGACAGTCTATAATGTAGACTGTTGCCTGGTTATTAAGCTGGGTGAGTGTACTGGCAGTCTATAATGTAGACTGTAGCCTGGTTATTAAGCTGGGTGAGTGTACTGGCAGTCTATAATGTAGACTGTAGCCTGGTTATTAAGCTGGGTGAGTGTACTGGCAGTCTATAATGCAGACTGTAGCCTGGTTATTAAGCTGGGTGAGTACTGGCAGTCTATAATGTAGACTGTAGCCTGGTTATTAAGCTGGGTGAGTGTACTGGCAGTCTATACTGTAGACTGTAGCCTGGTTATTAAGCTGGGTGAGTGCACTGGCAGTCTATAATGTAGACTGTAGCCTGGTTATTAAGCTGGGTGAGTGTACTGGCAGTCTATAATGTAGACTGTAGCCTGGTTATTAAGCTGGGTGAGTGCACTGGCAGTCTATAATGTAGACTGTAGCCTGGTTATTAAGCTGGGTGAGTGTACTGGCAGTCTATAATGTAGACTATAATTTGCTGCATCAAGTGAGGCGTGATTTATTATAATTTTATTATTTTATTTATATTTTTGCTTTTATTAATTTTAATTTCATTTTTTACCTACGTGGTGACTTTACCGAAAAAAACCTAAGAGTACGTGAGTTGGTGTGTTGACCGACTCTCTGTGTTGCATTGCATTAAGTGTCTCTCTCTCTCTCTGTGCAGTCACCAAACCTCCAAGTCTCTCATTGACACAAGGCCGTCATTATGACATGTTATAATAAGTATAATATTATGTTATAATATATAATAATTATAATGTTATAATAAGTATAATATGTTATAATAATTATAATAATATATGAATTATAATGTTATAATAAGTATAATATGTCATAATTATAATGTTATAATATGTTATAATAAGTATAATAATCAAATATGCCCCCCCAATATGTTTCTGTAAAAATATTTGTAAATCAAAATTGCGATGCTCTGTTAATAAAGACAACAATTTGCTAAACCTTGGCCACGAAATCTGGACTTGTCTTCATATAACAATGCATAGATTCCTGTTTATAGGATTGCGTTGTACTTTATGAATCCCTAATCTCTGCCATTACATACTATGAAACAAGAAAGGTAAAAAAGAAAAAACAGACCAATGTATTACAATACACTATTAGACATTATTGTATCAAATAAAACAAAGTCCATCCCATGTGCTAGTGAACTTTAAAAAATATTTTAGGGAGGAAATGGCAGGAAAATAGTTTTCAAATTTAGATATTTTTCTGGGGGGGGGACCCCAGACCCGTGGAAGATTTGGTCCCCCCCAATGTTGACTCCATGGCTACGGCCTTGCATTGACGTGCTAGTTTCTCTACCCCCCCTCTCTCTACCCCCCCCCCCTCTCTCTATTTAAGGCCTCAACACAGAGGCGTTGTTTCTCTGTGTGCCTATGTGTGTCTCTCTCTGTGTGTCTATATGTGTGTCTCTCTCTGTGTGTTTTTGTGTCATCTCTCTCTCTCTCTGCTTATGTGTCTGTCTATGTGTCTCCGTGTCTCTCTCTAAAATTGAGCAATCTTTGGAAGAACGTTATCAACCAGGTAGGGTGTTGACTGTTATGTTAGCTGACTCTAAGTTTAATACGTTTTTTTTCTCTTTCATTTGTACCTGATGATGATTGCTTGTGTTGCAGTTGAAACGTCGTATGCTATTATATAATGTATTTATTTATTCTACGTGACTTTACCGAAAGAACCAAAGAGTATCTTGCTTAAGTTTTAATTTCCCTTCACCTGGCTCGCTACTTTGTAACTTGTTTTGTTTTAAATATTCACACAGTTTTTTTTCATTTTTTACCAGGCCACGCCCGCTTGAGCTGCTGTACCGCTCTTGTTTTCAAAAGCGACCTGCCCACAACAACAATAACAACAAGGTGAGGCTCGTCAACAGAGTGGCGGTGTTCACTCTAGACACGTGGCGGTGTTCACTCTAGACACGTGGCGGTGTTCACTCTAGACATGTGGCGGTGTTCACTCTCGACACGTGGCGGTGTTCACTCTAGACGCGTGGCGGTGTTCGCTTTGGACGCGTGGTGGTGTTCGCTCTAGACGCGTGGCAGTGTTCACTCTAGACGCGTGGCGGTGTTCACTCTAGACGCGTGGCGGTGTTTACTCTAGACGCGTGGCGGTGTTCACTCTGGACGCGTGGCGGCGTTCACTCTAGACACGTGGTGGTGTTCACTCTGGACGCGTGGCGGTGTTCACTCTGGACGCGTGGCGGTGTTCACTCTCTGCATGTGGAGTGGGGACAACCGGGGGACACGGAGGGAAATCGACGCGACCACGGGGGGAGAGAGAGAGAGGCACGCAAACTCCAAATATACAGCAGGCGTCAAGGCTGGGATCGAACCCACGACTTCCTGTATGCCAGGAGAGGTAGTTAACATCTCACCACGGAGAGAGAGAGACACGCAGCCTCGGCTGTGTTGATTGATCCTCAATGAATTACTTGGAGTGAGGAAGCATTAATACTGAGCAGGTGAAGGTGGCCAGGCGTGGGTCTGGACACACCACCACCTGTGAACCATGCCAGTGCGTGACAGTGGTGGAGCCAGTGGGGGTGGGGTGGCACGTGCCCCCCCAACGATCCGATATAAATCCCTAATTTTGATAGGATCATTGGGGTTTATTAGTAACTAGCTTCACTACCCGGCTTCGCCCGGGACTTGGATTCTTGTCTTGGATTAATTTAATATTCCCTCATAATTCAATGAAAAACCCTGAAAAAATTGATGCTTGCAAGAAGGAAGCCGAAACACTTCAATTTACCTTAATCGGATGTTTTCACTCAAGGAAATTCAACCTGAACCCACTGCTACGTCAGGTCGATTTTTGCCACTCGGGAAGGGAATGACGTGGCATTCGCTTAGACATTCCAGACAGCATAAGCTGTAAAAATTTCATGACGCCAGAGCTCACAGCGTTGGAGAGTTTTTGCTGCTTCACACAAACAAACAGGTGTAAGTTCTGTTTTATATTTAAGATGGCAGTTGTACCCGTTCTTCACACGGATTTGTATTGAAACTCCGAGAAGCCAATGACTTAATCGGCCAGGAGCGAAGCGCCACCTAAAATCTCCCGGCACGCTGTGAACAGCTGTAGAAGTACGGCGCGCGAAGAGCCATGTGGTAGGGGGGTAAGCATTGCAGAGCCCTTAGCTCAGGTGTGATGCGGGTTGATGCCACATACGTCATGGCCATTTCCCCCCCCCCCCCCCAAATACAAAAGTCTATCTTCTTTCCTGAAGGCATCAACACGCGTCGAATGAAAAGCAAGGGACAAGTCCTTTCTTACTAACAACTCCTTTCTCACTAACAACTCCTTACTTACTAACAACTCCTGTAATTTTTCATTGCTGGAGGGGTTTCCCCCCCCTACCTGAAAATCCTGGCTCCACCTCTGAGTGTGTGACAGTGTCAAGTTTGTATTTGCAGTAAAGTCTATTAACTCTATTGAGCACAGAGGTTATATCAAAACAGTAGTTTATTTTAGTTTTCCTCTGGAACTCTTTGTAAGAATGGAGTCAGGAAATGATCACAGCACACACGTGCAGCAGCTGAAGTCGGAACTGCTCATCCCAGCAGTCAAGGACATCTGTGCCTGGCATCACACCTCTAAGTTGCGATTGAACATTAATTTATGCATTTGTGCATGACACAAATAGTATTATTTTCAACACCCTTTGCTATGTCAGCTGAATTTAGCTTTCATAAACATTTATTTTGAAGCCAAACAGCTGAAATTGTGTGCTCTGAGTTTTGGGTTAATGTTCATTTTGAAGATACGAGGGCTTCCAGGCATGTTTCTAACCATTTGCCCTCTCATTTTGTGCCATAACAGCCCGTGTGATGAATTTGGGACGCTTTTTCACTATATCATGAATATATGAATAAGTACAGACATGTAAGGCACGTGTTACTGTGTATATGCATTGATACTGATGTGTAGATGGTGTGGATATAACTTTTTTTCTGTCTGCAGCTGTTGCTGCCTCTGCAGAATTGGTTTGATGGAGCAAAGGCAGTCGGCGCGGCTCGGTGCAAAAAGGCATCAATGCGACCGGTGTGCATACAGCACGGATAATCCTGCAAATTTCACACGGCACCAGAGAACTCACACAGGAGAGAAACCCTTCAAGTGCAGTGTGTGTGGGAGGGCGTTTGCATGTTCAGCTCATCTTGTAAAACACCAGAGAATACACATGGGAGAGAAACCCTTCAAGTGCAGTGTGTGTGGGAAGGCGTTTGCACAGTCATCTGCTCTTGTAACACACCAGAGAACACACACGGGAGAGAAACCCTTCAAGTGCAGTGTGTGTGGGAAGGCGTTTGCACGTTCATCTACTCTTGTAGCACACCAGAGAACACACACGGGAGAGAAACCCTTCAAGTGCAGTGTGTGTGGGAAGGCGTTTGCACGTTCATCTACTCTTGTAGCACACCAGAGAACACACACGGGAGAGAAACCCTTCAAGTGCAGTGTGTGTGGGAAGACGTTTGCACTTTCAGCTCATCTTGTATCACACCAGAGAACACACACGGGAGAGAAACCCTTCAAGTGCAGTGTGTGTGGGAAGGCGTTTTCAGATTCATCTACTCTTAAAAATCACCAGAGAACACACACGGGAGAGAAACCCTTCAAGTGCAGTGTGTGTGGGAAGGCGTTTTTACTTTCATCTTATCTTTTATCACACCAGAGAACACACACGGGAGAGAAACCCTTAAAGTGCAGTGTGTGTGGGAAGGCGTTTTTACTTTCATCTCATTTTACACGGCACCAGAAAACACACACGGGAGAGAAACCCTTCAAGTGTAGTGTGTGTGGGAAGGCATTTTCACATTCAACTACTCTTGTAAAACACCAGAGAACACACACGGGAGAGAAACCCTTCAAGTGCAGTGTGTGTGGGACAACGTTTGCACGGTCATCTACTCTTGTAGAACACCATAAAACACACACGGGAGAGAAACCCTTCAAGTGCAGTGTGTGTGGGAAGGCATTTTCACATTCATCTACTCTTGTAAAACACCAGAGAACGCACACGGGAGAGAAACCCTTCAAGTGCAGTGTGTGTGGGAAGGCGTTTGTACAGTCACCACATCTTCAAAAACACCAGAGAACACACAAGCATCAGAATATCCACAAGGAGCGTAGTCTGAAATCAGCTTGTGAAAGTCAAAGTGCCGTAATGTGCCCATCCCTCATGAAACAAGAACCTGAAGAAAATCCCAGCTTGGACACTTTTTAAGAAATCAAGGTGAAATATGAAGAGGTGAAGGTGAAATGTGAAGAGGTGATGGTGAAGAGTGAAGAAGTGAAGGTAAAATGTAAAGATGAAGAGTCAACTCCAAAATCTGACCTTCACATCGATGGAAGCAACGTGGAGCAGGAGGAGAATCCTGACTGTGAGGCAGAGCGAGGCAACTCCCAGCAGTTTGTGGAAGTGGAAGTGTGGGTGGACTTCCTTTGAGACAGTACAAAGTCGAATGGAGACCCGGTAGATGTGTAAGCCTGAAACGATGTCGCTCCAATAGATGCACCTTTGTCACAGGCCTTTAATGACAATAATGTGAAGTTAAACACTCGGTTCCTCGGTGCAACCTGCAGGGTAAGAGCGGCCAGTCTTTGTGCACCTGTGTGTTGGGTAGACCTCTAACCAGGAGCAAGAGCCAATAAGCTCCCAAGCATTCATTATGTTATAATTGCATTTATATTGTGCTTGCTTAATCGCCTCTGGCAACTCTTGAGTTTTGTATCGTATCTCGTCTCAAACACTCGAAGAGCATCCCAAGTGGCAGCTGCCCCTGTGTGGCACAAGGTGGTGGCCCTGCACCGGCCTGCATGTCGACAAGAGCCTGTCAGTAGGGGGCGATGGTTGATGTGGCATCTCAGTTGTGGAGTTTGTAGGTAATGTTTAGAATTTGCTCAATTTTGACCCAGATGCCAGCATGCAATGGCCGACTCGTTTTGAATGGTGCATTAGTATGTTGTACATACACTGTTAAGCCGACGGTGCGTATGTTTTTTAATTAGCTTGTTAATAGGATGTAACTTAATGTGGTATATTTCCGTGCAGTAATTCAATTTTGTTAGTATGCCTGTCAATAAGTTAGACTGAATACTTGTCTGATTGGGTTCGTACATGTAGCCTTTTGTCTATAAGAGTCAAACATTGAATAAGTCATGTTAGGACACAGTGTGTGTTTTTCAAGTAACCTGTACAGATAACTCAGGTGAGACTCATTGTTCTTGTGATACAGGTCAAAGGGTACTTTTGTGTTTTCAGGAAGCATCTCCCTCTGGAGCAACTCATTGTCTTTGAAATAGGGAGCACACTCGGATCATTCATCTGTTACAAGGCATACCACTCAAAAGTTACACGTAGAGGAGATACATTCTCAACAACACGAATTATAATTTTGTATTACGTGTTGACGTAGATTTTGTCGAATTAGGACGAGAAATGCTCCTTACTGATTAACGTCTGGATGTCCGTAACTATCAGTTGAAACAAGCCCGGCTGCTGTTGAGACGCTGTGCACCAATAAGGGTCCACAGGTGGCTTGCACTGAATCAATGACGCACTCCCAGACAGCTGTGCTAAGTTATAGTTTGTGTAAAACATTCCTTTGTTTCGTGGAGAGATCGATAAATGAAAGATGTCGTGTCTGCTGATCTGCTTCATAGCAAGGAGGTAATTTTAAGAGCACATTTGGAATGCATTTTTGGTACAGATTTGTATTTGGTTACAAGGCAGAGCACATCTAGTAGATACATTCTGCACAACAACACTCATTAGAATTTTGCATGACGTCTTATATGTTGGCGAACTAGGACAAGAAATGGTCCTTGCCGATTAACGTCTGGATGTTGACAACCATGGGGTTGAAGCAAGCCTGACCGCCTGCGGTGCCCCTCACAACCATTTACGGCCTCGGGCCAGGAAAGTCACGAAGAAAATTGCACACGAACGACGCATCCACGCAAGCACCCGATGCTCCCTTTTGAAGTTTAAAAATGAAACTTTGAATTGTATTATGTTTTAAATTGTGTTTCTTCAATAAAAGCTGATATCATTTTCCATCTGGAAGACTTCATTGAAAACGACATTTCGTGTGAATTTTCTCTAGTCGTTAAGTAGATGGCCTTACCGGGGTTCGGTTCGATGCGGACTTTCACCTGGTTGGGATCGCGGGGTGGAGATAAGGTGACAGAGTTGGCCGTGCCAGAAGACCGCCGTCTGCAGATTGATTCCAACGCGATCGAACGTCTGTCCCTGCTCTCCGTCGTTCATGCAGGGGGCGCGTAGGTTTGCAGCGCCCCCTGCATGAAAACTATGGAAAGTGCAGCGTTCATCACAGATAGATGAGGTGCGCTTATATAAGAGTACTCGCAGGAAGTACCCGGTGTGAAATGTCCCACCTTTTATCGTAATATATAGGATACTAAGGCTAAGCACACCCGAGGATTGCACTTTTGTTGAAATATGAAGTTGCAAATATTTGTCCATTATTGGCCAAAAACGGCATAGGTTAGTATGCCGATTTTCTATATTGGGATGTGAACATTTCATCATAAAATGTTCCACTTTTAATCTAATACATAGCATACTAAGGCTAAATACAATGGAGCCAATTAACTTTCGTCTGAAAATAAATCTGAAAGTTGGGCTTATTGAGCCTAAAAACGGCACAGTATGCCGATTAACTTTTCTATATTCGAAAATTTAATTCATGAAATTCCCCACTTTTTACGTAATATATGGGCTACTCAGGCTAAACGCAACCAAGGAATAAACTTTTCGTTGCAAAAAAAGCTAAAAAAAATTGGATCGATTTTGCCAAAAAACGGCCTAGGTTCGTATGGCGATTTTCTTTTCATGAAAATGTCATCGTGACATGTCGCCAGCGGCGTGCTGGAGAGCCAAGCCACGACGTCTACAAAGTGCTGCTCATAGCGAGTAGCAGCACCGGTGGAGGTCGTCACGGCACACACAGAGGGGGTGGGTGGCCAGCACCACGCCCGGCCGCCTTTGTCTCCCCAGTGCTGGCGATGTTGACACACCGCACCGGGGACTCGTTTGAGGCTGAGTCGACGTAGGGGAGGCTCAGGACCGGCTCAGAAAGTCGTCACTGGCGGCGTTGGCCACGAGCGGAAATGGAACTCGGCTGGTCGGTGCGGAGCGCAGCGCTCACCACGACACTGCCAACAACAACAACAAACTTGAACTCTAACCCCGCCCTCTGACGTCACCGCTCAGCGTGACCTCATCGGCGTCAAACGCCAGGGGGAGGTGTGCCTCGCTAGTGACGTCATGTCACCAAGGTATTCACCCAACTCACGCGCTCTTGAGCGTGACGTCACATCCACTCGGCCGCTGCCGATAACTGTCCCAGTGCCATTCCTTATTTGGGCAAAGCCAGGCCCGGTGACTGGCGGCTCATTAACATAATTTATTTGTGAATGACGTCACGAGTTGAGAGCCGCTCATTGTGGGGAGGGGAGAGTCATCGTACCCCGCAAGTGACGTCATGTCACCTGCTGCCGCGTGACGTCACGAGGGACCAGGAAGTTGCCGCTCGGCCCGTGCACTGAAATCCGAGGTGAGATTCTCATCGCGGTTGTGGTGGTTGTGGTTGTGGTGGTTGTGGTTGTGGTGGTTGTTGTTGTGGTGGTTGTTGTTGTGGTGGTTGTGGTTGTTGTTTACCGAGGTAGAGCCTCGCTCTCTCTCTCTCGTAGGGATGTCAATTGAGTAGCAGCGAGCATGGAAGCGATGTCCAGATTGAAACTTTACAACGCGGGGCCTTGTGCCTCCTGCCCTCGCCTGATCGCGTTTGCTTCAATTCTCTCGCTTAAGTTTAATTTGTCTGCACACGGATCGCCACTTTGTACCTTTGTTTAAATATTCTATACTAACACCGTTTTTATTTTTACCAGGCCACGCCCGCTTGAGCTGCTGTACCGCTCTTGTTTTCAGAAGCGACCTGCCCACAACAACAATAACAACAAGGTGAGGCTCGTCAACAGCGTGGCGGTGTTCACTCTAGACGCGTGGTGGTGTTCACTCTAGACGCGTGGTGGTGTTCACTCTAGACACGTGGCGGTGTTCACTCTAGACACGTGGCGGTGTTCACTCTAGACACGTGGCGGTGTTCACTCTAGACACGTGGCGGTGTTCACTCTAGACACGTGGCGGTGTTCACTCTAGACACGTGGCGGTGTTCACTCTAGACACGTGGCGGTGTTCACTCTAGACGCGTGGTGGTGTTCACTCTAGACACGTGGCGGTGTTCACTCTAGACGCGTGGTGGTGTTCACTCTAGACGCGTGGTGGTGTTCACTCTAGACGCGTGGTGGTGTTCACTCTAGACACGTGGCGGTGTTCACTCTAGACACGTGGCGGTGTTCACTCTAGACGCGTGGCGGTGTTCACTCTAGACGCGCGGTGGTGTTCACTCTAGACACGTGGCGGTGTTCACTCTAGACGCGTGGTGGTGTTCACTCTAGACGCGTGGTGGTGTTCACTCTAGACACGTGGCGGTGTTCACTCTAGACACGTGGCGGTGTTCACTCTAGACGCGTGGCGGTGTTCACTCTAGACGCGTGGTGGTGTTCACTCTAGACACGTGGCGGTGTTCACTCTAGACGCGTGGTGGTGTTCACTCTAGACACGTGGCGGTGTTCACTCTAGACACGTGGCGGTGTTCACTCTAGACACGTGGCGGTGTTCACTCTAGACGCGTGGTGGTGTTCACTCTAGACACGTGGTGGTGTTCACTCTAGACGCGTGGCGGTGTTCACTCTAGACGCGTGGAGGTGTTCACTCTAGACACGTGGCAGTGTTCACTCTAGACACGTGGCGGTGTTCACTCTAGACACGTGGCGGTGTTCACTCTAGACGCGTGGTGGTGTTCACTCTAGACGCGTGGCGGTGTTCACTCTAGACGTGTGGAGGTGTTCACTCTAGACACGTGGCGGTGTTCACTCTAGACACGTGGCGGTGTTCACTCTAGACACGTGGCGGTGTTCACTCTAGACACGTGGTGGTGTTCACTCTAGACACGTGGCGGTGTTCACTCTAGACACGTGGTGGTGTTCACTCTAGACGCGTGGTGGTGTTCACTCTAGACACGTGGTGGTGTTCACTCTAGATGCGTGGCGGTGTTCACTCTAGACGTGTGGAGGTGTTCACTCTAGACACGTGGCGGTGTTCACTCTAGACACGTGGCGGTGTTCACTCTAGACACGTGGCGGTGTTCACTCTAGACACGTGGCGGTGTTCACTCTAGACACGTGGTGGTGTTCACTCTAGACGCGTGGCGGTGTTCACTCTAGACGTGTGGAGGTGTTCACTCTAGACACGTGGCGGTGTTCACTCTAGACACGTGGCGGTGTTCACTCTAGACACGTGGCGGTGTTCACTCTAGACACGTGGCGGTGTTCACTCTAGACACGTGGCGGTGTTCACTCTAGACGCGTGGCGGTGTTCACTCTAGACGCGTGGCGGTGTTCACTCTAGACACGTGGCGGTGTTCACTCTAGACGCGTGGTGGTGTTCACTCTAGACACGTGGCGGTGTTCACTCTAGACACGTGGTGGTGTTCACTCTAGACGCGTGGCGGTGTTCACTCTAGACACGTGGCGGTGTTCACTCTAGACACGTGGCGGTGTTCACTCTAGACACGTGGCGGTGTTCACTCTAGACACGTGGCGGTGTTCACTCTAGACACGTGGCGGTGTTCACTCTAGACACGTGGCGGTGTTCACTCTAGACACGTGGCGGTGTTCACTAGACGCGTGGTGGTGTTCACTCTAGACACGTGGCGGTGTTCACTCTAGACACGTGGCGGTGTTCACTCTAGACGCGTGGTGGTGTTCACTCTAGACGCGTGGCGGTGTTCACTCTAGACACGTGGTGGTGTTCACTCTAGACACGTGGTGGTGTTCACTCTAGACGCGTGGCGGTGTTCACTCTAGACACGTGGCGGTGTTCACTCTAGACACGTGGCGATGTTCACTCTGGACGCGTGGCGGTGTTCACTCTAGATGTGTGGCGGTGTTCACTATAGACACGTGGCGGTGTTCACTCTAGACACGTGGCGGTGTTCACTCTAGACACGTGGCGGTGTTCACTCTAGACACGTGGCGGTGTTCACTCTAGACGCGTGGTGGTGTTCACTCTAGACACGTGGCGGTGTTCACTCTAGACACGTGGCGATGTTCACTCTAGACGTGTGACGGTGTTCACTCTAGACACGTGGCGGTGTTCACTCTGGACGCGTGGCGGTGTTCACTCTAGACGCGTGGTGGTGTTCACTCTAGACACGTGGCGGTGTTCACTCTAGACACGTGGCGGTGTTCACTCTAGACGTGTGGCGGTGTTCACTCTAGACGCGTGGCGGTGTTCACTCTAGACGTGTGGCGGTGTTCACTCTAGACGCATGGCAGTGTTCACTCTAGACGCGTGGCGGTGTTCACTCTAGACGCGTGGCGGTGTTCGCTCTAGACGCGTGGCGGTGTTCACTCTAGACGTGTGGCGGTGTTCACTATAGACGCGTGGTGGTGTTCGCTATAGACGCATGGTGGTGTTCACTCTAGACGCGTGGCGGTGTTCGCTCTAGACGCGTGGTGGTGTTCACTCTAGACGCGTGGTGGTGTTCACTCTAGACGTGTGGCGGTGTTCACTCTAGACGCGTGGCGGTGTTCGCTCTAGACGCGTGGTGGTGTTCACTCTAGACGTGTGGCGGTGTTCACTATAGACGCGTGGTGGTGTTCACTATAGACGCGTGGTGGTGTTCACTCTAGACGCGTGGCGGTGTTCGCTCTAGACGCGTGGCGGTGTTCGCTCTAGACGCGTGGCGGTGTTCACTCTAGATGTGTGGAGGTGTTCACTATAGACGCGTGGTGGTGTTCACTCTAGACGCGTGGCGGTGTTCGCTCTAGACGCGTGGCGGTGTTCACTCTGGACGCGGGGTGGTGTCCATTCTAGATGCGTGGCGGTGTTCGCTCTAGACGCGTGGCGGTGTTCAC